CAATGAAATCCGAATTAGGAAATATATTCCCTATCTCCTCCTTGGCCGATTTGAGCAAAAAAACTTTGTGCACACGATAGCCTTTCTGAGTTATACAAAAATTAATCGAAAAAATAATGATTTTTAATATTTTTTCATCATTTTGACGGGGGGCCAATGAAACCCGAATCAGGAAATATATTCTCTATCTCTTCTTTGACCGATTTGAGCAAGAAAACTTTGTGCACACGATGGCCTTTCTGAGTTATACAACAAATAATCGAAAAAATAATGATTTTTTTAATATTTTTTCATCATTTTGACGGGGTCCAATGAAATCCGAATCAAGAAATATATTCTCTATCTCCTCCTTGACCGATTTGAGTCAGAAAACTTTGTGCACACGATAGCCTTTCTGAGTTATACAACAAATAATCGAAAAAATAATGATTTTTAATATTTTTTCATCATTTTGACGGGGGGCCAATGGAATCCGAATCAGGAAATATATTTTCTATCTCCACCTTGACCGATTTGAGCAAGAAAACTTTGTGCACACGATAGCCTTTCTGAGTTATACAACAAATAATCGAAAAAATAATGATTTTTAATATTTTCCATCATTTCGACGGGGGGCCAATGAGTTTCGAATCAAGAAATATATTCTTCATTCCCTCTTCGACCGATTTGAGGAAACAATTTTTGTGCACACGATAGCTTTTCTAAGTAATACAACAAATAATCGAAAAAAATAATGATTTTTAATATTTTTTCATCATTTTGACGGGGGGACAATGGGTTTCGAATCAAGAAATATATTCTCTATCTCCTTCTTGACCGATTTGAGAAAGGAAACTTTGTGCACACGATAGCCTTTCTGAGTTATACAACAAATAATCGAAAAATAATGATTTTTAATATTTTTTCATCATTTTGACGGGGGGGCCAATGAAATCCGAATCAAGAAATATATTCTCTATCTCCTCCTTGACCGATTTGAGCAAGAAAACTTTGTGCACACGATAGCCTTTCTGCGTTATACAACAAATAATCGAAAAAATAATGATTTATAATATTTTTCCATCATTTCGACGGGGGGCCAATGAGTTTCGAATCAAGAAATATATTCTTCATTCCCTCTTCGACCGATTTGAGGAAACAATTTTCGTGCACACGATAGCTTTTCTGAGTTATACAACAAATAATCGAAAAAAATAATGATTTTTAATATTTTTTCATCATTTTGACAAGGGGCCAATAGGTTTCGAATCAAGAAATATATTCTCTAATCCCTTCTTGACCGATTTGAGAAAGGAAACTTTGTGCACACGATAGCCTTTCTGAGTTATACAACAAATAATCGAAAAATAATAATTTTTAATATTTTTTCATCATTTTGACGGGGGGCCACTGAAATCCGAATCAAGAAATATATTCTCTATCTCCTCCTTCACCGATTTAAGCAAGAAAACTTTGTGCACACGATAGCCTTTCTGAGTTATACAACGAATAATCGAAAAAATAATGATTTTTAATATTTTTTCATCATTTTGACGGGGGGGCCAATGGAATCCGAATCAGGAAATATATTTTCTATCTCCACCTTGACCGATTTGAGCAAGAAAACTTTGTGCACACGATAGCCTTTCTGAGTTATACAACAAATAATCGAAAAAATAATGATTTTTAATATTTTCCATCATTTCGACGGGGGGCCAATGAGTTTCGAATCAAGAAATATATTCTTCATTCCCTCTTCGACCGATTTGAGGAAACAATTTTTGTGCACACGATAGCTTTTCTAAGTAATACAACAAATAATCGAAAAAAATAATGATTTTTAATATTTTTTCATCATTTTGACGGGGGGACAATGGGTTTCGAATCAAGAAATATATTTTCTATCTCCTTCTTGACCGATTAGAGAAAGGAAACTTTGTGCACACGATAGCCTTTCTGAGTTATACAACAAATAATCGAAAAATAATGATTTTTAATATTTTTTCATCATTTTGACGGGGGGGCCAATGAAATCCGAATCAAGAAATATATTCTCTATCTCCTCCTTGACCGATTTGAGCAAGAAAACTTTGTGCACACGATAGCCTTTCTGCGTTATACAACAAATAATCGAAAAAATAATGATTTATAATATTTTTCCATCATTTCGACGGGGGGCCAATGAGTTTCGAATCAAGAAATATATTCTTCATTCCCTCTTCGACCGATTTGAGGAAACAATTTTCGTGCACACGATAGCTTTTCTGAGTTATACAACAAATAATCGAAAAAAATAATGATTTTTAATATTTTTTCATCATTTTGACGGGGGGCCAATAGGTTTCGAATCAAGAAATATATTCTCTAATCCCTTCTTGACCGATTTGAGAAAGGAAACTTTGTGCACACGATAGCCTTTCTGAGTTATACAACAAATAATCGAAAAATAATAATTTTTAATATTTTTTCATCATTTTGACGGGGGGCCACTGAAATCCGAATCAAGAAATATATTCTCTATCTCCTCCTTCACCGATTTAAGCAAGAAAACTTTGTGCACACGATAGCCTTTCTGAGTTATACAACGAATAATCGAAAAAATAATGATTTTTAATATTTTTTCATCATTTTGACGGGGGGCCAATGGAATCCGAATCAGGAAATATATTCTCTATCTCCTCCTTGACCGATTTGAGCAAGAAAACTTTGTGCACACGGTTGCCTTTCTGAGTTATACAACAAATAATCGAAAAAATAATGATTTTTGATATTTTTCCATCATTTCGACGGGGGGCCAATGAGTTTCGAATCAGGAAATATATTCTTCATCCTTTCTTCGACCGATTTGGGGAAACAATTTTTGTGCACACGATAGCTTTTCTGAGTTATACAACAAATAATCGAAAAAGATAATGATTTTTAATATTTTTTCATCATTTTGACGGGGAGCCAATGGGTTTCGAATCAAGAAATATATTCTCTATCCCCTTCTTGACCGATTTGAGAAAGAAAACTTTGTGCACACGATAGCCTTTCTGAGTTATACAACAAATAATCGAAAAATAATGATTTTTAATATTTTTTCATCATTTTGACGGGGGACCAATGAAATCCGAATCAAGAAATATATTCTCCATCTCCTTCTTGACCGATTTGAACAGGAAAACTTTGTGCGCACGATAGCCTTTCTGAGTTATACAACAAATAATCGAAAAAATTATGATTTTTAATATTTTTTCATCATTTTGACGAGGGGCCAATAAAATCCGAATCAGGAAATATATTCTCTATCTCCTCCTTGACCGATTTGAGCAAAAAAACTTTGTGCACACGGTAGCCTTTCTGAGTTATACAACAAATAATCGAAAAAATAATGATTTTTAATATTTTTCCATCATTTCGACGGGGGACCAATGAGTTTCGAATCAAGAAATATATTCTTCATCCCCTCTTCGACCGATTTGGTTAAACAATTTTTGTGCACACGATAGCTTTTCTGAGTTATACAACAAATAATCGAAAAAAATAATGATTTTTAATATTTTTTCATCATTTTGACGAGGGGCCACAATGGGTTTCGAATCAAGAAATATTTTCTCTTTCCCCTTCTTGACCGATTTGAGAAAGAAAACTTTGTGCACACGATAGCCTTTCTGAGTTATACAACAAATAATCGAAAAAATTATGATTTTTAATATTTTTTCATCATTTTGACGAGGGGCCAATAAAATCCGAATCAGGAAATATATTCTCTATCTCCTCCTTGACCGATTTGAGCAAAAAAACTTTGTGCACACGGTAGCCTTTCTGAGTTATACAACAAATAATCGAAAAAATAATGATTTTTAATATTTTTCCATCATTTCGACGGGGGACCAATGAGTTTCGAATCAAGAAATATATTCTTCATCCCCTCTTCGACCGATTTGGTTAAACAATTTTTGTGCACACGATAGCTTTTCTGAGTTATACAACAAATAATCGAAAAAAATAATGATTTTTAATATTTTTTCATCATTTTGACGGGGGGCCACAATGGGTTTGGAATCAAGAAATATTTTCTCTATCCCCTTCTTGATCGATTTGAGACAGAAAACTTTTTGCACACGATAGCCTTCCTGAGTTATAAAACAAATAATCGAAAAATAATGATTTTTAATATTCTTTCATCATTTTGACGGGGGACCAATGAAATCCGAATCAAGAAATATATTCTCTATATCCTTCTTGACCGATTTGAACAAGAAAACTTTGTGCACACGATAGCCTTTCTGAGTTATACAACAAATAATCGAAAAAATAATGATTTTTAATATTTTTTCATCATTTTGACGGGGGGCCAATGAAATCCGAATATAATCGAAAAAATAATTATTTTTAATATTTTTCCATCATTTTGACGGGGGGCCAATGAGTTTCGAATCAAGAAATATAATCTCTATTCCATCCTTGATCGATTCGAGAAAGTAAACTTTGTGCACACGATAGTCTTTCTGAGTTATACAACGAATAATCGAAAAAATAATGATTTTTAATATTTTTTCATCATTTTGACGGGGGGCCAATGAGTTTCGAATCAGGAAATATAGTTCTCATCCTTTCCCTGATCACTTTGAGAAGGAAAACTCCGTGCACACTATAGAGCCTTTCTGAGTTATACAACAAATATTCGCAAAAATAATGATTTTTAATATTTTCTTATCATAATGGGTTCAGAGTCAGGCAGTATATCTCATTTTTTATATCCGATCGATATGTATTTCAATTCGATATAATATGGTTAAAAATATTACAAGAGTTCTGGTGTATACGATCGTCTATTTGATTAAAATGGCTGCTATCATTCCTTCGTGCATCTTCTTTCTTTGGGCGCACGGTACATAATCGAGCATCTCTGGCGAAGTGGCTGCCAACTGCGGCTGCTGTTTTCACACAAATGAAAATATCGATCTTTGGAAATATCGACCGACCGAAACCCATCTCTAGCCTAAATGTGTCGCCTTACTATCTTAGTGACTCGCCTCATAGGACCAGGTACAAGCGACTCCAGCGTACCGCCTAACGCACCTGCCCAGCTCGACGTCCTCGTGCGTGGTGTAGAGATGGGCGAGACAGCGATCGACGTGCGGGGCGGCCCGACGCAGCGTCTCCCTGCTCATTAGCACGCCCGGCCCGCCCATGCAGAAGTTCTCGTCCGAGTCGAGGGCGAGGAGGCCCAACTCGTCGGTGGTGCCTCTGCCCGTCTGCCCTGGAAGAGAGGATGTTCTGTGTTAGGAATTGAGCTCTTTTCTACCTCGAACGAGAGAGAGAAAAGTTCTCTCCTCTTCCATCTCTCCTTGTCTAACGTCTACTCTGCGCCACTGAACTATTTTCGATGTTATAATGATGTGACATTATGTCATTAATGTTATTGACTAATAACCTTTCGAATTGAACGTGTGAAGAAGTCCATATTGCTCAAAGTGGAGTGGTAGTGTTTGAAGGAAGAATAAATCTCGAAATCATCTCCACGACATTTAATGGGTGAACAAAATTATGGAATATGGTAATAGTTGTTATTACTTACATGAGGATGAAAAAGTTCTTTAAAGTTGTTGAATAATGTTAATCATGTTTTGAATTCCCAACACAATTTCATATTGAAAGGTATTTGAGTGATGATTTTATTTCGAGTTCTATTTAAGAATTGAAAAGGAAAATTCTCAGATATATTTATGAACACAAAAAAATGGATATATACAGTGTCATTCATAAAGTCGGCAAGATATGGGAAAAACTTTTATTAATGACTTATTTTGAAATTCGAGTTGGACGTTAAGTTTTGCTTCAACCAAGATGAAAAATGGCCTACTCAATCGGGGTCACGTGACTTTCGCTACATGTCAAAAGTGACATTTCTTCAAATTAATCGCAGAAAGTAGGCTTATTTGTTCTAATATCGAAAGAGTTCACTTGAAAAAGTTGTATCCATCTAAATTTCACATATATGTGAATCGGATTTTATCTTTCTATTACAGGTTTTAGATTTCGATATTTTTTAAAAATTTTCGAATTTTCTGTAATATCAAAAAAAATTGTAAATTTGATAAAACTACTTCATACTAGTAGCTTCATCATGCTACTTAATTTCAATTACTAATTATCACTAATTATCGACAAACATAAGATTTTCTTCAGAAAATGATAAGCTCCGCTTCAAAATTCTGTTATGTTTGATGCAAACATAACATCAAAATTATGTTATGTTTGAGTGAAGCATTTAGAAACGAAATTCAATCAAATTTATTTTTTCAGTACTGAAAAGATCAGTTATGAATTTCGTTTCTAAATGCTTGACGATATATCAACTTTGCATCAAACATAACAGAATAATTTCGAGGCGGGTATTATCATTTTCTGAAGAAAATCATATTTCTGTCCATAATCAGTGATAATAAGTAATTGAAAGTAACTAGCATGAAAAAGCTACTGCTATGAAGTAGTTTCGTGGAATTAACAATTCTTCAAATATTACAGAAATTTCGAAAAATTAAAAAAAATCAAATTTTAAAAGTTGCAATAAAAGGATCAAATTCGAGAAGCATGTGTAAAATTGAAATAAAAACAACTTTTTCGAGTAAACTTTCTCGATATTCGAACAAATAAGCCTACTTTCACAGCGATTAATTTGAAAAAATATCACTTTTGACATGTAGCGAAAGTCACGTGAACCCTATTGAGTAGGCCGTTTCTCATCTTTTTTGAAGCAAAACTTAACGTCCAACTCAAATTCCAAAGAAAGAAATTAATAAAAGTTTTTCCCATATGATGCCGACTTTATGAATGACACTGTATATAAAGAAATACATTGAGAATTCGCATTCTCCATGTGATGAAAATATCAATTCTTTCTCGGTTTATTCAACAGAAAACAACTACTTTCCTGGCTATATGCCACGACGAATATTGAATTACATCTATTGAACAAAAACTAGTCCCCTCGTCTATCATTTTTTACTGGCCGTTTTTTTTGCGCTCAGTATATCTCGGTGTATATCTTTTGACAAACAGTAGCGGAAAGTGATTTCTCTTAAACGTTCTTACCTATGAACCACGGTTTCCTGCTGTCAACCGACCTCAGCAACTCCTCCAACCTATCCGTCCTTATGTAAACGTCATCATCGGCTCTCAGAAACCACTCGTACTGATCCGCGAACTCCTCGTACATGTACCTCAGCATCATGAAAGACTTTTTCTGAGGCGGGTAGCTGTCGTCGACCCCAGGCAGAGCAACTAACGGCACATGGGCGCTATACGAATTTTCCGAACTGAAAAACATCACTTTCCCCGGTACTTCCTTGCCCCAAGTGTCATAGGCAGCCTTGGCTCTAGTATCTAGGTATTTGGCAGCTGTCATTACACCCACGAAGAGCAAATTCTTGTTGGAAGATCTAGCGTTTTCCTGATCTATCAACTTCAGCGGAGACACTTCCATGTTTTTTTCAACGTGGCAGAAACCGGATGAATCGCTGTCTATCAGCTGCGAAGCTATGATCCCTATCAGGATGCCCAAGGTCAGCTTCAAAAGGCGGTTTCTTCGCGCCATAATAGTGTGACGTCATCAGCGTCATCGTTTCGAACGGCCTAGCATGATCGATGATGATTGTGCGTTCGATTGTTTCGACTACATCGCGGTCGGAGTGAAACTGAGGTGGCTATGATCGCGCTAGCGAGCGGTTTATCTTTGAACCCAGGTCAAGGCAGTGCTGAAAAATGTAAATACAGGCTGTCAATTTTCGATGTGAATGGCATAGGCGTAGCAATTGGGGTTTTTCGATTTTCGGGAAATAAATTTCAAAAAATTATGGTAATTTTGCACTCTTGTTTCTCCGAAGATTGCTTTTGTTTCTTACGTATTTTTGTCTGAATTTGATGATGAAAATGTGAACAAACCATTATTTATTAAATGATATTTCACTATGAAGTTACAAATTTCACCTTCTTTTCCGCCTGTCTTTTGGATTTCATTTAGAACAATTTGCCCTTCTTTTTTCATCATTGGACAATTTATACAGGGTGTCAATTTGAAAACTTCCCACCCTTAATATCTCCCTCCAAGTCGATAATATGGAAAAACGAAAAGACAGGTCGATTTTATTTTCGAGGGGGACATGGTTTTAAAATATTTTCAGCCCCGCGGCGTTGCCGCTTCTAACGAAAAGAAGCAACAACTTTGTTATTTCAGATGGAACACCCTGTATTTTATTGCATTTTTAGATTCTCCCTGAAAAGCTGATTTCATCAATGTATCTCACTTGGGGTCTAGCAGGAATGATTACAGAGATATAGGGTGTTCAAAATCGAGATTTTTCAACTTTAGGATTTTTTTGAGTCGAAACTATTCATTATTGGTCAAAACGGCTTTTATGTCCCTATCTCAACTTTTGATTCACTATCTACTGGCATTTCATTGTAACAGATACAGGGTGATCAGAAGTCTGAATCTTGAACCACCCTGTATTTGTTTCAAATAAATGTCAGTAGATAGTGAATCAAAAGTTGAGATAGGGACATAAAAGCCGTTTTGACCAATAATGAATAGTTTCGACTCAAAAAAATCCTAAAGTTGTAAAATCTCGATTTTGAGCACCCTATATCTCTGTAATCATTCCTGCTAGACCCCAAGTGTGATACATTGATGAAATCAGCTTTTCAGTGAGAATCTGAAAATGCAATAAAATACAGGGTGTTCCATTTGAAATAATAAAGTTGTTGCTTCTTTTCGTTAGAAGCGGCAACGCCGCGGGGCTGAAAATATTTTAGAACCATGTCCCCCTCGAAAATAAAATCGACCTGTCTTTTCGTTTTTCCATATTATCGACTTGGAGGGAGATATTGAGGGTGGGAAGTTTTCAAATTGACACCCTGTATATGACAGCAATGTACTTCAATGACACATTCTTTATAAATGAAAGTCAAGTCAACTAGAAATATGATTTTCTTGTGACTTATCAACATCTAGTGATAAGAAGGAAGAATATCATTTAAAAGCAGTCTGATGACATTCGACATCTCGTATTTGGATTATTTATTGATTAAATGGCCGTCATCTGGTACGATTGTTTACTAATAATTATATATATGAAAAACTCGCCATAAAATAGTATATTATGTAACAAGTGTTATAAACGTCCTTTTAGTAACGAGTATTTTGAGCACGAGCGGAGCAGAGCGGAGCGAGTGTTTAATAAACGAGTGTCTAGAAGAGTTTATAAACGCGTTACATACTATGCTTCTTCTACGAACTCCGAAAATTACATTAACATACCTGCTATTCCTGCTAACCTACAAAATAATTCGAATGGAATGGGAATGGAGAACATAATACATGCAACCAGCGAGACACGTATAAGTGATATTGGTTGTAGATGTGTCTAGTCCATTGCTTACTAACCACGTTTATTCTCATGCTTAGCGCAAAATAAATAAATTGTTCTCAAAGATGGATGCTTCATTTTTACACTTCTTGGAGATATGCAAGTACCAGAACATTCTCTTCGATTTCACTTTCGTCTTCATTTCGCATATATTTTTAATGAAGAATTCTGATACAAACGAATATTGTTTGAATAATTCTGATACAAAATTTGAAAATAACAGTTGTCAGTTAATACAATTGACAGGCCAGACATGTCTCAACTTACTGAAGCTGTGTTTAATGAACTGTGTTGCCATGGTAATGTGTTTAAGAAATCGTGTTGCCATGGTAACGTGTTTAATATTTTGAATAAATCACAGATCGTCAATTCGTGATTAATCGATCATTTAGCGTGGTACATATCCGTACGCTAAATGCCATTTTAGTTATGTGAGTAGAAAAACAATATTTCGTGCTGAATTTTCTATTTAACATTATATCATTGAAATACATCATGAGTATACAGTGCTGGATTTATACTCACTTACGCCGGGTGGCTAACTATTAGGATGCCGCTGCGCCGCCACCAAATAATAAATTTCAATAATAATTGTCAATTTCGAAATTCAAAGTACACCCGTTCACTGTTTTTTTTAGCAGCTTATAAGGAATCAGATTATATTTACTTCACACCTTTAACCAAACATTTGGCTTCACCAATTTAGAACCTATCGATTTTAGAAAAATCATTCAACCATCCCAGAGATAGCACAATCATCCCTGGGATGTTTTGGGATGTTTTGAAAATGTTGGCATGAAGATGTTATTTTGAGATGTAATATGCACTGACCAAAGATGTCTTTGAAGGATATTGAAGTATTGTTTTTGTTCTTCTGTGGCATTTCTTTGTTTGCCTACTGAGAGGTATCTCTGGGATGTTTTGGGATGTTTTAGAAATGTAGGCATGAGGGTGTTTTTTTGAGGCCGTAATATGCACTTCCCAAAGAGGTCTTGGAAGGATATTGAAAGTATTGTTTTTGTTCTTTTGTGCCCTTTCTTTGTTTGCCCCACCACAACGTCTCATGCTTACGTCACAATACGATGAATTCTGATTTGTTTTCGATTTTGTTCTTCTTGTTCGCAATTGGCATTCGTGTTTGCAGCGTGTCACGCTTACATCACGCTGCTAATGAACAGAAAGGAATTTAGTGAGGTTTATTGTGTCAGAAGACGTACTTATTTAGTTTGTAATAATGACCATCAGATGCAAGATGTGTTGTTCGGTGCCTCAGTGTAATCAATATATAAAAGTACGAATTCATCAATACACAGCTTCTCCGCAGTTGCAAAATTATGCATTGTGGAGAACATTTTAAAAATTTGGAAACCTATTTCCAATTATATGTCTGTGTGTAGTGAGCACTACTCAGAAACCGATTAAGAAGGTAATTTCAAATCAAGACAATATTTTTATGTTCAATTTATTTTAATGCATTTTTTCATTCAAGGGAAATGGAATCCTAATGCAAAAGTTCATTTTGACAAAAGGCTTCAGAAAAGTACCTCGAAAATGGATTTTTTACAGCGATTTAATATGCGCAAGACGCGTTGAAAATGTTCTGTTGTGTCCATGAAAAGGGTTTAAAAAGAACTAGGTAGAAGGTAGTTTTGTGACATATCAAGGACATCTCGATAATTGCCGCCTGCGGCGGACATTGGCTGTTCTATAATAGTTCTATTCATGTGTGAAGAGAACATCGCAGTGAAGGTTCAATGTCTCGAAATCTCGTACTTTTAACATCTCTGAGATGTTTTTGTGCTCGCTGGGATGGACTTTGTAAAAAGAAGTGGATTGTACAGTGAACTGTAACCTCTAGGGGTGAGCCACAATAGACCGAATAGAGCCGTCTGAAGTCACAGAAACCTAACATAAACAACAAATGAGTATAATTTTTTTTTTCAGATAAATATGAATATCTACTGAAATATTTTTCTAGATTTTTTTGATGCAAACTCATCGTCAAAATACAGCTTTAATAACATGTTTTATTAACTGTTGATATTCAAAAATGATAAGCTATTCAATATATCCTCTACCATGGAATTCCGAAGGCAATTTTTCACACATTTGAAAGTTGAGAGACTGGGGCTGATAGTCCTATAGCCCCCCCTCAATCCGGCACTGTGAGTATATGAAGTGTCCAATGACAAAATAAGAAGAGCAAGTAGCTGTAGATCGTTATGGTAAATGCATCCAAGACAGATAGAAAAAGAAGGGCGAAATTTCGAACTTCTTGAAATATCGATAGATAGTGGTTTGTCCACATTATCATTACCCAATTCGTGTTTTTCAGACAAAAATACGTTGATAACAAGAATATTTTTCGAAAAAAAAATACCCGTCAAAAATCTTAACTTTCATATTGGCATATCTGATGTTGCATTACATTTTTGTAGGCCTTAATGTTTTTATCATTCTGTTCTGATCTTGGCCCCCTCCTAGCAAAATATAATTGCTAAGCCCTTGTTCAGTATCGTTATCTGTCGGATTATGATTCAGATAGTGGATTTACCTGGGTTTATATGTTCAATACGATGGTAGTACGTAGTACCACAACGTATAACTAAATATATAGGTCGTTTTTTATCTCATCGAGTTTTGTATGTTTTATTGATCAGAAGCAGGATGGATCTTACTATCTAGATCACCCATATCCTTCATATGTACTTATTTATCGGAAGCGATATGTTTCTCGAGCAAATTGGTAGGTAATTTATTAGGACATGAACCAGATTGCATCGGATTATGACCCATTCTTAGTCGTAAAAGCTCGTAAATTAACTTGTACATTTCTTTAGTGCTTTAGTCATCTGCTATAGTATGTACAGCCTTCTTCATAAAACATGTCGCACATGCACCCCATCAAATCGCGACATGTTCTCTGAAGAAGACTGTACGTGCTTTACTTTCCCCGGTCGTTGGATTGGCAGTCAAGGTCCTACGAAATGGCCAGCCCGATCGCCAGATTTGACACCTAAAAACGTTTTTTTTATGGGGCTGAAGCAAAAGGTGTGCGAAACTGCAAAAGCTCCAATATTGGGTATACGACAGGGAATGATGAATATTTGTAGAAATATCGACGTCACTGTGTTCGAAAGTGTTCGGCGTAAAATATCGGATAGGCTGTTCTTATGTCAAGAAGTTCAACGCAACCATTTCGAGCATCTTCTCAAGTGAACTTAGCTTATTTCCTCAAATTTCGAAGGTAATCGTCGATGTATTCAGGCAA